CGTACAGGGGCTATGTGGGGAGTATTCAGGAGACAGACAACTCACTCGTCAAATCCTCCCCTTCCTGGCCAACAAAGCTGCTGCAACCACAGGGATTTCGTCTGTTGAGGTGAGTGTAGGGTGTACAGAGATTGGTTCAATGTCCAATTCTTCGGTTTCCCTGGAGATCAGGTTGCCCTTTTCTGGTAGTGTCTCCAATTGCCTCCTTCCTGGAAGCATGTGACAATCAACAACTTTGTATACTTAAGTTCAGTGGACCTCAATTTCCTCATCTGTGAAATAAACGGGACTGGAAAAGCATTCCGGCCTCAAGATGCTTTGTTGGGGTGTCTAGGTGCTCCAGATGCTTCTGGGAGAGGTGACCTAGTGAGGGATCAGTGGGAATAGAGGTGATATTATAGAACTTTTCTGGAAATTGCAGAGAGGTGCATCGTTTTTATTATTTATGAATTTGTATTTATTAATGTCATCCTCCTGATCTTTTCAGCTGCATTGGGTAAATCCTTGCCTGCCAGGTCGGACTCCCCGACCCCCAGAGTGGGTCAACGGTGGGCCAGAAAGGGGGCTCATTCTAACAGTGCTGTGTCCTCCTGGGGAGTGCCAACTCATTCTCCAAGTAAAAAAAGCCAGATTTGTGGCTCACTTCGTGGGGAAATATGTCCAGCGCACCAACGCAGGCGAGGGACTGGGGGAGGAGGGAAGTGCCCTCCTGCAGCACGCGAGGTTCCGGACCGGCTGGCCTGCTGGAACTCGGCCAGGCTCAGCTGGCTCGGCGCTGGGCAGCCAGGAGCCTGGGCCCCGGGGAGGGCGGTCCCGGGCGGCGCGGTGGGCCGAGCGCGGGTCCCGCCTCCTTGAGGCGGGCCCGGGCGGGGCGGTGGTATATCAGGGCCGCGCTGAGCTGCGCCAGCTGAGGTGTGAGCAGCTGCCGAAGTCAGTTCCTTGTGGGGCCAGAGCTGGGCGCGGATTCGCCGAGGCACCGAGGCACTCAGAGGAGGTGAGAGAGCGGCGGCAGACAACAGGGGACCCCGGGCCGGCGGCCCAGAGCCGAGCCGAGCGTGCCCGCGTGTGTCCGTGCGTGTCCGCGAGGATGCGTGTTCGCGGGTGTGCGCTGCGTTCACAGGTGTTTCTGTGGCAGGTGAATGACGGGCGTGGATCGGTGCGCGCTCGGCTTGCGCACACGGTATCTGTAAGTGCGCGAGTGACGGGGGTGGGGATGTGCCGGAGACCCCGGGCAGAGAGCGGGATTACCAGTACAGGGATCCCCGGTCACGATCCCCGCCCCTGGAAACCCAGCTGGGGCGAGGGAGGGCGTGGACCGGACTGCTCTGAGAGCTCGCCTTTGGCTGCGGTTGGCTGCAGGCCCCAGGCGCAGTTTGCTCGCGGCCTGGGGATGAAGTCCGTGTCCCTGGAGGGGCCCAGGAGGGGCGAGGAAAGCGGAGTGGAGTAAATTCGTCTAGGATCGGTCCTAGGCGGCTCTCTGATCCAACTGGCGCCGCCCTGGCCCAGGTCCCAGGTTCAGGTCCTCTACGCCACTGTGTCCACCACCTGGCTGGGCACTGAGGTCAGCGCGGGCTGTTTCCCGGCCCTTGGGAGTGTGCCAGGACACGTCCCCTAAGGACAAACGAGGAGGTGACTCATTGTGACAAGGAGACCCCAGGGAACGGACTGTATGAGGTCAGAACCCCGCCCGGGAAGGGGTACAGAGGGACTCCCGAAGCCCTCTCCCCTGCCCCGCCGCGGTCTCCGTCCTCCCATCGGCACAGTGACCTATTTGGCTGGAACAGCTTGTTCCCAGGGAAGCAGGGCACCGGAGGTCCAGGACACCGCGTCGGGTCCCCGCTTCGCTAGGGGTCGGGGAGTCACGACTCTGCGCTGGGCGGGCTCCAACCAGCCTGTCAGTCGGGGAAGGGCAAGGGTCTCCTCTAACTCTTTCCCACCGCGGCCGGGAGAATCACGGCCCAGCCTGCCCTCGGGTCGGGGCGCTGGACTCCGGGGCGAGAGCAGAGCCCACGCCTGGGTGGGAGGTGGTAAGGGGTCAGGTCTTTGCGGGGTGGGGATTCTGGGGGGCACGACGCTGCTCAGGGCCTCCATCAGCTGCCTCGGTGGCGCCCCGACCTAGCCCAGATTCCCTCTCGGAAAGCGACAGGGCTGAGCGGAGCAGGGGGGCGAGTCGCCCCCTGGGGCGCCGCCACTTGGCGCGGATCACAGCGCATCCTCTCGGTCCAGAACCCCTGGGGGACACTTGCGCCCTCTTCGTGCGGAAAAGCATCTTGGAGCTGGGTTTGGAACTTGGGGCGCCCAGGCAGCTTCCCCTCTCCTTCCCTCCCTCCACGTCGCGTTTCTGGGAGGACTTGCGAGCGGTTTTGTTTTCGTTGCTCCCGTCTATTTTTATTTTCCAGGGATCTGACTCATCCCATGCTTTGGGCGTGGAGATAAGGTGGAGGGGTCGGCTCCCGGCGCGCGTGTGTGTGTGCGCGCGCGCGCGCGTGTGTGTGCGTGTGTGTGTGTGTGTGTCAGAGACGGCACAAGAGCGCGCGGTTTCCCAACAGCGGCGGGAGTTTCGGAAGCCTGGCCGGCTCAGCGTGACGTGTTCGCGGCGCCCCCCCGCTGTCCCCTCCCATGCTCCCCCTCCCCACCCCAGGGTGACGCGCAGCCGGAGTGGAAGCAGAGTTTTGGCGGGCGAGCAGCGCCTTGCAGGAAACTGACTCATCACTACTCCCTCCCGCAGTCCGAGGCTCTGCCCACGCACCTCCCACCCCGCGCGTGATTTCCTGGAGGCCGGCGCCCCCTCCCGGCCCTGGCGGTAATAGCACACCGGCTTTCCCGGGGAGTGGGGCTGGCCGGCGCGAACCGCCGCGGCTACTCCGAGAATAACCCCTATGCCATTACCACCCCTTCAAAGGAGCACTCCTTAGATTCAACAGTATTTACTGAGCTCTTACTGGAAATTAAAATATGGCTGAAGTCTAAGGCAGCAAAGCCAATAAAGGAGGCTATTTTCAGTTGTTTGTAAAACACGGGTTTACGTTTCTGTTTTCTTTGGGCTGAAAGTTATTATGACAATGAGCATGAGAGCAGATTTTGATGGGGGAGGAGAGGCCTATAAGAGCCATAAGAGAAGGATGGGTGGTAGAAGGGGAGAGGGTACCTGCCTAGATCCTAGTCCTGTCTTGAGCTCCCGGGAGCCAGGGAATATCCAGCTCCTTGATGAAGCCCTAGGCGGGCTCCTCCTCCTTGTGCCTATGATGTATTGAGACCAAGAATGTCCATTTCAAACACACCAGTGTGTCCCCCTTTGGCTGGCACCCCAAGAGTGCCCATCTGAGGAACGGTGCCAAACACTTGCTTGAAACTTCAATTTGGATTAAGTTGGTCTCAAGAGGCAGGGATTTTTCAAAATCTATATTTTGAAAAAGCTCCCTAGGTGCTTCTTTCTTTCTTTCTTTCTTTCTTTCTTTCTTTCTTTCTTTCTTTCTTTCTTTCTTTCTTTCTTTCTTTCTTTCTTTCTCTCTCTCTCTTTTTCTTTCTTTCTTTCTTTCTCTTTCTTTCTTTCTTTCTCTCTCTTTTTCTTTCTTTCCCTTCCTTCCTTCCTTCCTTCCTTCCTTCCTTCCTTCCTTCCTTCCTTTCTTTCTTTCTTTCTTTCTTTCTTTCTTTCTTTCTTTCTTTCTTTCTTTCTTTCTTTCTTTCTTTCTTTCTTTCTTTCTTTTTCTTTCCTTTCTTACAGAGTCTCACTCTGTCACCCAGGCTGGAGTGCAATGGCACCATCCTGGACTCAAGCAGTCCTCCTGTTTCATCCTCCCAAGTAACTGGGACCACAGGTGTGACCCTCCATGCCCAGCATTTTTTTTTTTTTTTTTTGAGACGGAGTCTCACTCTTTTGCCCAGGCTGGAGTATAGTGGCATGATCTTAGCTCACTGCAACCTCCACCTGCTGGGTTCAAGCAATTCTCCTGCCTCAGCCTCCCAAGTAGCTGGGGCTACAAGTGTGCACCACCACGCCTGGCTAATTTTTGTAATTTTAGTAGAGATGGGGTTTTGCCATCTTGGCTAGGCTGGTCTTGAACCCCTGACCTCAGATGATCTGCTCGCCTTGGCCTCCTAGAGTGCTGGGATTACAGATGTGAGCCACTGCACCCAGCCACCGAGCTAATTTTTATTTACTTTTATTTTTAGTAGAGACGGGGTCTCACTGTGTTGCCCAGGCTAATCTTGGACCCCTGGGCTCAAATGATTCTCCCATCTCTGCCTCCCAGAGTGTTAGGATTACAGGCATGAGCCACTGCCCCTGGCCTCCCCAAGTCATTCTGATGGGCCTCTCTGGTTAAGAAACCTCAAAATTAGAGAGGGAGTGGGGTTCAACACTAGAGCACAGGACTCAGGGCAAGCAGGCCTGGGTTCAGATCCTGGCTGTGCCACTTGTGAACTGTGTGATGTTGGGCAAGTCACTTAACTTCTCTGAGACTTGGTTGCCTCTTCTGTATAAAGGGAGCTAATAGATATCCACTTTTTAGGAGGACTGATATTTTTAAACTGCTTAGAACAGCCCCCAAACATAAAAATATATAAATAAATCCCAACTCATGCCTAGCGGAGGGTGGACAGAGGTTATTTGAGGGCTCTGTCCACTGTACTGGGTGACCCCTTTATGGGACAGTGGCCTTTGGCCTTTTTAGCTGTATGACTTAGGGACAAGTCTCATATCTCTTCCATCTCCTGCCGTTTAAACTCGGTGTGAAGTTACCAAGAGCCTCCTCTTCCAACCAGCTGGGACGTGAAACTGTGGGCTGCACTGATCACAAGCAGTGGGGTGAGGTGGGGTGGAGCAGATGTGGCATGTGTCCCGGGCTTCCTGCCTCAGGAGGACTCAGCAGAGCTTTCCCCCCCAGAGCCTGCAAGTTGGGACTTGTCCCTAGGAAAACCCAGTTGCTGCCAAGGTCGTGCAGTCACTCAGCCCTGGAGTCAAGCCAGAGCAGGCAGGTAGGTGCCAGGGCTCCCTCATGGGCAAACTCACCCTCCGTTTTCCCTCTCCTGAAGTGGGAGGAGAGGAGCCAGGTAGACCAGCCACCTTTAATTTTCTTTGCCTGCAAAACGGGTTCCTTGGACACAGGCAACACGGGGCAGAGGCTGCCAGGTGTCTAGACTTCAGATCACCTGATGTGCCTGGCAGGATGTGGCTCAGCCTGGGAGAAATCATCCCTTGCGCTGCCCCGCCCTGCCCCTCCTTACCCCTAGGCCACCCGCCTGACGACATCCTTGGGAAAGGCCCTCAGCCTACAGCACCTGTCAGCTGCTGTCTGAAGGAGGTAGTTGGCAGGGGGAAGTGATAGGGAGGAGGCTCAATAAAACTGAAGGCAGAGAGGAATAATCATACTTCTGTTTTCCATGCACTTCTGTATACGAAGTGCTGCTGGCACGTTACCTACATTAACTCAGTTAATTCTCATGTCTATCCTCTGAGACAGTAATATCCCCATTTTATAGACAAGGAAAATAGAGCTCAGACAAGTTAAGTTGCTTGCCCAGGGTCACCTAGTAAAACCTGGACTCCAACCCAGATGATCTGAGTCCAGAGCTCTCCTGCTTAACCACCAAGACACAGCCTTTCACTCAGCTCTGTTCTGTCTGCCTTGCGCATGGACTCCCTGATCAATTGCTTGAGTAGGTGTCCGTAGCCATGCTCTTTAAACTTGCACATGGCCCATTTAAGGGTGAGGAAACTGAGACCTAGAGATATTAAGTGGTTTTTTAAAGCTTACGTAGTAACTGGCAGAGCTAGGACCACAACCCGGGTGTTTTTTGCCCCAAAGTCCAGGGTAATTTTACTTGGTCGAGCAGGGTTACCCTACTTGGGGATCTGGGTAGGGGGATTCAGGAGGCTGGAGGAACTGTCCGACTGTTCCTTCTTCTGATAATTGACCGCCTGGCCATGGCTAGGATTAGGAAACTGCTGGACTCTGGCAATTCACATGTATTTGAGGGGCATTCACACCCATGAGGGACACCTCTGGGGGGAAAACAAATTGATTTTAGCTGAAAATACCTGGTGGCAAACAGGACCCTGGTCCTTGCTCTTGCAGTAAATTTGCCTTTGTTGACATTAGCTTGCCCTTCAGTTGCCTGCTCTGCCAGTGACCTTGGGGTGCCAGGCTGGTTGCGCTCTGCTGGTGGGGGTCAGGCCTCCTGTGGGAAGGACGCAGGAAGACCAGCTGGAAGGAGCGAGAGAGACCCTCTGGTAGGAAGACGTCACCTGAGGTGACACAGCAAAGCCCGGCCAGGTAACATAGTGTCCAGTCTCCATGGTGACCAGGGCCTTCCTTGTGTCTCTGCTGCAGGCGCCATGTCAGAACAGGCTGGCAGTGTCCGTCCGAACCCATGCGGCAGCAAGGCCTGCCGCCGCCTCTTCGGCCCAGTGGACAGCGAGCAGCTGAGCCGCGACTGTGATGCGCTAATGGCGGGCTGTATCCAGGAGGCCCGTGAGCGATGGAACTTCGACTTTGTCACCGAGACACCACTGGAGGGTGACTTCGCCTGGGAGCGTGTGCGGGGCCTTGGCCTGCCCAAGCTCTACCTTCCCACAGGGCCCCGGCGGGGCCGGGATGAGTTGGGAGGAGGCAGGCGGCCTGGCACCTCACCTGCTCTGCTGCAGGGCACAGCAGAGGAAGACCATGTGGACCTGTCGCTATCTTGTACCCTTGTGCCTCGCTCAGGGGAGCAGCCTGAAGAGTCCCCAGGTGGACCTGGAGACTCTCAGGGTCGAAAACGGCGGCAGACCAGCATGACAGGTGAGGACATGTGCAGGGAAGGACGTTGTAAGGGACCAGGATTCTCAGAATCCATGGTCCAAGGGCTGACCTGTCTGGTCCTAGTCCAGAGTGCTCCTTAGGTAGAAGGAAACAGGCCCAGAGAGGGGAAGCAACCTCCCTGAGGTCACACAGCAAGTAGGCAGCAAAGACCAACTAGCTAACATTTATTGGGAATGTTCATTATGCCAGGCCCTTTGCCAAGCTTCTAAGGTAGATTTATTTAGTCCTTGTAGCAATGTTATACCATAAGACATTCTTGTCACCCTCCCTGCCTTTCTTTTTGAGACGGGTGTCTTAACTCTGTTGGCCAGACTGGAGTGCAGTGTTGTGATCATGGCTTACTGCAACTTCAAATTCCTGGGCTCAAGCGATCTTCCTGCCTCAGCCTCCTGGGTAGCTGGGAAGCTGGGACTACAGGCGCACACCACTATGCCCGCTAATGCACACCACTATGCACAACACTAATTTTTTGAGTTGGGGTAGAGACAAGGTCTCACCATGTTGCTTGGGCTGGTCTTGAACTCCTGAGCCCAAGCAATCCTCCTGCCTCAGCCTCCCAAAGTGTTGTGATTACAGGCATGAGCCACCGTGCCCGTCCCCTTGCCATCCTTTTAGGGCAAGAAAACCAGGCTCAGAGAGGTAGAGTGATTTGTCTAAGGTCTCAAAGGGAATTTGCAGTTGGGTCAGGACTGATTATAATAACAACTACTAACGTTTCTATGGGCACGGCATTGTGCTGAACACTTTCATGGATTTCGTAACAGAATCCCTAGATCACCACTGTCCAGTAGAACTCTGCAGGGATGGGAGTGTCCTGTGCAGGGGCCACGAGCCACATACGGCTGTTGTGCATTTGACACACAGCTCATGTGACTGAGGAACTGAATTGTTCATTTGATTTGATTTTAGTCTGTTTAAACAAGCACACAGAGCTAGTAGTGGCTCCTCTACTGGGCAGCTTGGCTTACAGCAGACCCCTGGGTGCAGGTGTGGTGACTGACAAAATCACATCCGTGAAGCATGGTGGGACACTCCGTAAATACCCCTTAAGAGACAGAGTGAGCGTTCCCCGAGTTCTTCCCATCCTCAGCAGTCGGCCCTGTCGGCCGCAGGGAAGGGTGTCCTGGCCTCCTGCTGTCTGCCTTGGGTGGGCAGCTCTGCCGCGTCCTCTTCCTCTTGGCCTGGCTGACTTCTCTCTCTCCTCAGATTTCTACCACTCCAAACGCCGGCTGATCTTCTCCAAGAGGAAGCCCTAATCAGCCCACAGGAGGCCTGCAGTCCTGGAAGCGCGAGGACCTCAAAGGCCCTCTCTACATCTTCTGCCTTAGTCTTTAAGTTTGTGTGTATTAATTATTATTTGTGTTTTAATTTAAACACCTCCTCATGTACATACCCTGGCTGCCCCCTGCCCCCCAGCCTCTGGCCTTAGAATTATTTAAACAAAAACTAAGCAGTTGAATGAGAGGTTCCTAAGAGTGCTGGGCATTTTTATTTTATGAAATACTATTTAAAGCCTCCTTATCCCATATTCTCCATTTCCTCTCTCCTGGAGGTCGGGTGGGCCGGCTTCATGCCAGCTACTTCCTCCTCCCCACTCGTCCGCTGGGTGGTACCCTCTGGAGGGGTGTGGCTCCCTCCCCTCGTTGTCACAGGGGGTTATGAAATTCACCTCCTTTCCTGGACACTCAGAACGAATTCTTTTTAATTTGAGAAGTAAACAGATGGCACTTTGAAGGGGCCTCACTGAGTGGGGGCATCATCAAAAACTTTGGACTCCCCTCACCTCCTCTAAGGTTGGGCAGGGTGACCCTGAAGTGAGCACAGCCTAGGGCTGAGCTGGGGACTTGGTACCCTCCTGGCTCTTGATACCCCCCTCTGTCTTTTGAAGGCAAGGGGAAGGTGGGGTCCTGGAGCAGACCACCCCACCTGCCCTCATGGCCCCTCTGACCTGCACTTGGGAGCCCGTCTCAGTGTTGGACCTTTTCCCTCTTTGGCTCCCCCTGTAACTTTTGAGGAGCCCCAGCTACCCTTCTTCTCCAGCTGGACTCTGCAGTTCCCCTCTGCTGCTGTCCCTCCCTCTTGCCCTTTTCCTCCAGTACCCTCTCAGCTCCAGGTGGCTCTGAGGTGCCCGTCCCACCCCCATCCCCAGCTCAATGGACTGGAAGGGGAAGGGACACACAAGAAGGGCACCCTAGTTCTACCTCAGGCAGCTCAAGCAGCGACTCCGCTCCTCTTTTAGCTCTGGGGTGAGGGTCCCATGTGGTGGCACAGGCCCCCTTGAGTGGGGTTATCTCTGTGTTAGGGGTGTATGCCATCATACACCCCATGGGAGTAGATCGTTCTAGGAGGGAGACACTGGCCCCTCAAATCGTCCAGCGACCTTCCTCATCCACCCCATCCCTCCCCAGTTCATTGCACTTTGATTAGCAGCTGAACAAGGAGTCAGACATTTTAAGATGGTGGCAGTAGAGGCTGTAGACAGGGCATGTCACGTGGGCTCCCATGGGGCTGGGAGTGGTTGTCTTTCCTGGCACTAACGTTGAGCCCCTGGAGGCACTGAAGTGCTTAGTGCACTTGGGGTGTTGGGGTCTGACCCCAAACACCTTCCAGCTCCTGTATCATACTGGCCTGGACTGTTTTCTCTCAATTCCCCATGTGTCCTGGTTCCCCTGTCTCTCCACCTAGACTGTAAACCTCTCGAGGGCAGGGACCACACCCTGTACTGTTCTGTGTCTTTCACAGCTCCTCCCACAGTGCTGAATATACAGCAGGTGCTCAATAAATGATTCTTAGTGACTTTACTTGTAATATTACTATTGTGGTCATTATACCTTATTGTAAGAATAAATAAATGGGCTTTTGGGAAGGCTTTCATAATTTAAAAAATAATTTTAAAAATTAAGCATTTAAATTTAGAGAATGCAGAAAACTTAGCAAACAGAAAGACTATGCTGCAGAAAACAAACAACAACAAAACAAAAACTGCTGTCACACCTCTGCAAAGATCACCACTGTCAACATTTTGGTTTGTTGTGTAATCTTTTTGTAAAGAATATATTACAGCTTAACATCATTACTCATCAGATAAATGCAAATTAAGATACCACAATAAGATACCACCATATACTTACCAGAATGACTAAAATTAAAAAGACTGACAATGCCAAGTGTTGACAAGGTTGTAGAGCAATTGGAGCTCTTATTTAAAAAACTGTTTGGGCCAGGTGCAGTGGCTCACACCTATAATCCCAGCACTTTGGGAGGCTGAGGCAGGCAGATCACTTGAGGTCAAGAGTTTGGGACCAGCCTGGCCAACATGGTGAAATCCCTGTCTCTACTAAAAATACAAAAATTAGCTGGGCATGGTGGTGCACGCTTGTAATCCCAGCTACTTGGGAGGCTGAGGTGGGAGGATCGCTTGAACCCAGGAGGCAGAAGTTGCAGTCAGCTGAGATCACACCACTGTACTCCAGCCTCTTCCAGGGTGACAGAGTGAGATTCATCTCAAATAAATAAATAAATAAATACAAACTGTTTGACAATATCTTCTAAAGATGCCTACCTTCATGGCTACCTCATGACCCAGTAATTCTATTCCTAGATCTGTTCTCGAGAGAAATGAGTTCATATTTCCACTGAAAGACACGTAAGAATGTTCTACACAGTGACTCACACCTATAATCCCAGCACTTTGGGAGGCTGAGGCATGAGGAGGACTTGAGTCCAGGAGTTTGAGACCAGTTTGGGCAACATAGTGAGACTCTATCTCTACAAAAAAAAAAAAAAAAATTAGCCAGGCGTGGCGGAGGGTGCCTGTAGTCCCAGCTACTTGGGAGGCTGAGGTGTGAGGATCACTTGAGGAGCTTGGGAAGTCGAGGCTGCGGTGAGCCCTGACTGCAGCACAGCACTCCAGCCTAGGCAACAGAGTGAGACCTTGTCTGTCCCTCTCAAAAAGGAAAAAAAAAGAAAAAACAAAAAGAATGTTTCCAGCAGCATTATTCTTAACAGACCCAAGCTAGAAATAACTGAAATGTCTCTAACAGAATAGATATGCAAATTGTGGTATATTTATATAGTGGAAAGTTGTCCAACATTCGAAAGAACAAGGTACTGTTACATGCATCTTCTGGTTATCTATTAATAATTAACCACCCCAAGACTGAGTGGCTTAAAACAATAATCATTTATTTGCTCCCAATACTGCAATTTGGCCCAGAACTACTTTTCAAATGTGGAATAATTCTCTGCTGCACAGGGCAGAGCTTTCTACTAGAATCATAGAGTTCTGAAACGAGACTCTCCCCGCCCGAGGGGACTTCCAGGGACTTCACACTGTCTGCTTCTCCACAGATAAAAGTCCAGGACCAGGGCATACGCTGGGGCGTGTGACCCAAGTGCTTGTCCCATAGCCTGCACCTGTTCCAGAACCCTCTCTCGCTCCGGCCACCGCTTAAACATGGCAGCTTACCAGATCATCTAATAAATGGGCTGGAGTGGTCTTTAGTACACTGCCTCTGAAATCCAAATTAAAAAGTGGTAAGAGGGGGTAGGGGGCTGGGGGAGGGATAGCATTAGGAGAAATACCTAATGTAAATGACGAGTTGATGGATGCAGCAAAACAACATGGCACGTGTATACCTATGTGTCAAACCTGCACATTGTGCACATGTACCCTAGAACTTAAAGTATAATAACAAAAAAAAAGAGAAAAAAAAGTGGTAAGAGGTGCAAGATACACTAAGTTGTCCTTTACCACAGAGGGAATGACCCAGCAATGCCCCAGTTTATTTGACCACTTAAAACTTTACAAATTTGATAGATCTCTAAATTGTTGTAGGGAAAGTGGATGTGAACCCCTTTTGATCCCCTTTCCTGGCATGGATTGGAAAGAACACACTTGTTGTAGTATTGGCTTCTTACCATCAGAGGCTGTGTAGACCATTATAGTAAGGATACTGTATCTGATCATGGCTGTGATTAGGGCTGCCACGTGGATAATCACCAATCACCATGCTTCAGTTGGTTTTTACAGGGGCAGTATGGGGTGGAACCAATGGAGATACTATAGGGACCACCTCAGTATCCTTTAAGTCTCTGAGGGTATCACTAATTTCTACCCACCTGGGATATGTTATTACTTCTGATTTACGACCTTGACCAGCGGGATAATTTTAGAGACTTCTACTTAGTCTTTCTTTCCATAATGGCTCTTATTCCACAGATGACAGAGAATGTGAGAATGTGGCAGAATGTGAGAGTTCTGCCATCTGCGAAGTTATGCATCCCAATTTGCACTCAAGGGCTAGGAAATAACCATAGAGTAGGTCCACCGACTCATTGGGAGATGAGCTTGGCTAGAACTCTATTTATCATCTGGCCTTCTATGGCCTCCCTCTCTAAAAGGAGGCTATAATGGCATTTTGGGTCACCTGGAAGCAATGAAAGCTCAGACCTTTTATCTAACAGACCTCAAATGATCTGGTTATTCCCTGTTCCACACTGTACAGCTATTCTGGTAAATAGCCAGAGGGCACTTTCGGGAAGAATCAAGGAAACATTTATTTTATATATTTATAGTGGCATTATGGATCTTTCTCTTCCATCAGTGTGTCCTGGGTCAGAACTGGCTCAATGCTGGAAACTAGGTAAGATATTGCAATTTTCTATCTCAGCAGGTGACATCAGCCTCTGATCACTCACCCTTGATTTTTGTGGTTAAGTCAGGCAAGACTCTCATTAAATGCTCAGCTCTCTTGCCCTAGGGACTCCACTGCTGCAGAGCCCTGCAGATCAAGGAACCCTGGTCACCATTCAGGCCTTGCTGCCTGTCATTGTAATTGTGTCCACCTTGCCTCTGATGATTAAGTGGCCCTATGTGGTCTCTGCTCTTCCAGAACCTTAATGTCTCCATTGACAGTGGCCATGGCATTCCATGGGAGTATCTCCTCCGTCAACCTGGGCTATGGAGGACAACCAGCACTGAGCTCCTTTCACTAGGCACTTCTTTATTGCTTTGCAAAAGGAAGGCCTTTTGGACCCTCCTCTCTGAGCCTTCTAATCCCTCATTAGTACTCTTCCAAGGCTGTTTCAGCATTGCTACCTCGCTGACTGTCAGCCATCATTGTGTCTAAACCTTAAGGATCAATTCAGTAGTGTGTTAAGACCAGCTCCAGAGGTCTCGCCAGGATGTTAAATTCCGAGTCAAAAGAAGGGTCCCTCCATAAAACCCTGTTTATCTAGCTTTGTATTCCTCAGCTCCCCCCGGCCCCAGTCCCACATCCTCAAGATCTCTTCCTATATGTGTTTTCCTGTTCCTACTAATATATATCAACCAGACCTGTAGTTTTTATTGTGAATAAGCTATTTCCTCCAGCAATGGGGACTATATACTTTCCTGCTTGGGCAATGGTAAGACCTGACCCTAATTACTGGTCTAGAACAGGGGTAGGCAAACCATAGTTCATGCACCAGCTGCCTGTTTTTGTATATAAAGTTTTATTGGAATGCACACACACCTATTTGTTTACCTATTGTCCATGGTTGTTTTTGCACTGTCGTTTTAAGAGCAAAAGTAGAATCGAATAGTTGCAACAGAGACCACATGGCCTGCAAATCTAAAATATTTACTCTCTTGCCCTTTAAGAAAATGTTTTTTGATCCTGGTCTAGAGGCAGTGAGGGCAGGAGGGAAGGATCTTGAGGAAGATAAGCATCACCTTGTGAGACATCCACCTCAGGTGAGTCCTTAGCATGGTCTTTAGGTTATGGGAGATTGTTCTCTAGTAAAGGAAGGGGTCCTTCTACAGGCCTAGAAGGCTCAAGGAAGCTGAGGGTACAAGCTTCTCAAGTGCATCTATCCAAATATCTCCATACAAGTCCTAGTGCCCCATTCTTTCCCTATCAGAATTCTGACCCTGGGGTAGTAGGTCTGCTGAGGCTGTGCTTTTAGTCTCTCTTGAAACTTCATCCCTTTTACAATCAGATCCTGGGCGTGATTTTCAGCACAGCCTACTCTTGGGCCATGAGAGATAAGGGTCATTTAGAATGCTGTTATGGAGTTCTCCTGTCTTCACAACATACCCTGAGTTGTCTTTCTTCAAGGCTTCTAGGGCAAATAACAAAAGCCAACCAACCCCACAATCCTTATCATTACTATTGCCCTGTATCTTTCAGGTGTTAGACTTATGGCATAAGTCAATGTTGCTCCTGAAATTTTACCTGTGCCTCTTACCAACCCACTACACACATTGTGGACATTGTGATGCTGTAGTCTGCCAAGGGTTATCACCACCTTACTCACCACCAGCATTTGGGTCCACGTTGTCACTTCACTGGTGACTTCTGTTTTCTGAAGCCCATCCTGCTTCTGCCATTTCTGGAAACTGTCTTAGTCACCCCCACCACCCCTACTCCCCAAACAACTTGAGACAAGGACTTGTGTGCAGGTGGATTACCTGGGAGGTAGTCCCTGGAGGCACAGCAGGAAAGTAGAGAATGTGAGAAAGGAGAAGGCCAATAAAGCTGTCAGTGAACAAGTTCCACTGTGTGCAACTGGGGCTTAAACCTGCTAGGGAGCCTCAAGGAAACCGTGTGGAACATACCCTACAATTTTCTCTCTGGAGTACTTATCTGGCTACCTAGGCTACGTATCTATGGACACTGTCCATCACTGATAGGGCTGCCTCCAGGGCCTAGTCCAGATTGCTCCTCACGGGGTGGAACAAATTCCTGTAATGCTGAAGAAAACCAGAGGGATGAAGACATTTGAGGTGGGAAATCATTAGCCTGCCAGGAATTATCTACCAAAGC